TGAGTTCTGGGTGGCACTAAGTCATGGTCTTAGAGGGGAGCATTTCGTAGTGGAAGTTGGTGTAGGTGGCCACAAGTGTGGTGCCTTCGTAGACATCGGCTCCACACAAAACTTCATATGTCGCAACTGCGTTGAGAGACTGTGCCTAAACGACCAGATGCAGCGCCTTAGTAGACCAGTAGCATCTACTTTGGCCAACAAAGAGCGCATGTTGGTATAGGACTGCGTCAAGGATGTGGTCTGCACCTTCTCTTACGGAGGTGGGGAACTGTTTTATCAGATTTCGTTTCTAGTCAGTGACGATTTGTCGTTTGACATGTTATTAGCATGGCTACGCCATACCCGGACCCGGACATTTCCGGACATGGAACCGGACCCGTGTCCGGTAGTTTCCGGACGTCCGGAATTCCGGACATTTCCAGACCTCCGGACATGGGGGGATCCGGACAGTCCGGTCTGGACAAGTCCGGAAATGTCCGGACCATTAAAAAAAAATAAAAATAAAAATAAAAAAATCTGAAAAAAAAGTATGTTATGCAAAATAACAATGCAAACCACTTTTGCCTCAGAGTCATGTCAGAATCCCTAACCAAACTTGAGTTAAAAGTCAAAAACGATAAAAATCTTAAAAAAAGACTTTAAAAACTAATAAAAGGTAATGAATTATTAATAATTAAAAAATTGGGGTTGTCTAATAAATTACTATAGAGAGACAGCATGTCCGGACCCCCAAAAAAAGCATGAACGGGCCTGAAAAACCCCCAAAACAATTTTGGGGGCTTGGCTCCTCAATGGGGAAGGGTCCTGGAGCGTTTTTTTTTTTTTTTTTTCCTCGAAATTTGCCAGATCCGGACATCTGGATTCCGGACTGAATCCAGACCGTCCGGACGGCGGTCCGGACGTCCGGATCGTAGCCATGGTTATTAGGTATGTCCTACCTCGAGGTTGCCAAGCCCCAATTTGACTGGGACAAGAAAGAGCTAAAGCATGAGTTGCCAAATGGGAGAACCGTTAGACTAGCTAAGTACAAGGCTAGCAGGTTAGTTGACTCCTATGGGTGCTTGTGTGCAACGTCGTTTTATAATTACTATAAACAAAACCAAGAGGAGGGTATGTACTTAGTGTTTGTCTCTTAAAAGGGGAGGTCGTTAAAACATCCCAGAGATAGAATCCGTCGTCGTTAAGTACCCCGATTTGTTTGACGAGCCTTCAGGAGTCATGGATAGGGAGGTTGTCCACGCCATTGAGATAATTCCAGGGAGCAAGATACCCAAAGGAAGAATCTATAGGATAACACCGACCGAGTTAGACGAACTTCGCCAACAACTGAAAGAGTTTACAGAAAAGGGTTGGATACGGCCTAGCATCTCCCCTTTCGACTCACCAGTCTTATTTGTACCGAAGAAGCGGGGATCATTGAGGATGTGCATTAATTATAGAGGCCTCGATGCCATCACAGTTAAAACCCCCGAGCCTCTACTGCGCAACGATAACCTATTGGATAGGGTAAAGGGGTGTAAGCACTTCACCAAGATAAACTTAAAATCCGGCTACCATCAGATTGCCATTAGACCAGAGGACCAGCGCAAAACCGCAGTTCATACCAGGTACGGTCTGTACAAGTTTGTGGTGATGCCCTTTGGCCTTTGCAATGCGCTAGGTACATTCCAGCACTCCATGAATAAAAATTTTCATGACTACTTGGATAAGTTCATCGTTGTGTACCTTGACGACATACTTGTCTTTAGTAGAACAGTCGAGGAGCATGCCCAACATGTAGAAACCGTACTTTCACTCCTATGACAACACAAGTATAAGATTAACTTAGAGAAATGCGAGTTCGGTCGCAGTAAAATCTTATACTTTGGTCAGGAGATATCCGCAAACGAGATAAAACCCGAAAATGCCACGGTGACTAGCATCCGTGACTGGCCACGACCTCAGTCTGTAACCGAGGTCAGATCTTTCTTAGGGATGACCGGCTACTATCGCAACTTCGTGAAAGAGCTATAGCACTGTGGCCTCCCCTTTGACTGATCTAACTCCCCTTGACACACCATGGGAATGGACCGACTAGTGTGAGGCACCCCTTAACGATTGTGACTCCTGTCCAGAACCTAGTTTCTTACCCCAGCAATCGGGTCTGTTCGCCACAAACGAGTCTAGGGTGGTGCAGTCGTTCTACCAGATTACCACCAAGGACCTCTACCGGACGCAGCTGCCTCCATACGATGTATAGGTGGAGGTAGTGGAGCGACGAACGAAAAGGGGGTGGGTGGCGGAACACGAATTGGATACCTGTGGCGAGCAGGAGTTGCATTTTTTTTTTGTAATCTTATGCCACTACCGGACCAAAGGCAGACAGGATTGTTATGGTTGATTGCGCATTTGGCAGTTCCCACGGCTTAGTGGCAATCAACGAAGTGCAGGTGTACGGGCCCCCAATGCCTGCTGTGGAAAGAAGGCATGGAGGACATGTCTTCCTCAACTGCCCCGGACATCAGGGCTTTTGGTGACAGTGGACGGAAGAGGGGGAACGGGGAAACCTCCCACTTGCAAGAGGATATGGGGAAGGGGCTTACGGGGCATGGGCGCTGCTTGGCTCATTGGTCTGTAAAGGAAGGAAGGGGGGGGGAGTAAGGGTCATGGGAACTCTCAGGCTGGCCCTGCTATGGTCAGTCTGGTGTTGCAGAAACGAGGAGGTCCGGGGGCGGCACACCTTTGTGGTGGCCAAGATAGTAGCGTTTGTCAATGAGAATCTGCAAATGGCTATTCAGGTGGACTTCCACAGGCTCCACCTTGGTCGAACACGCGGTCAGAGTGGATAACCTGAGATTTGGGGCTTCTTTGAATCAGGGAGGGGACCGGCGGGTAATGGTTCGTTTGAAGCTAGGTCTGGGGTGGCCAGGGGGGAGGCAAGGCCCAGTAAAGTGGAATAGGTTAAAGCTAGGTGAAAGGAATGCGGGCTTGCAACATGGAAAGGGCACAAGAATGGTAGATGCGATTGTGTAATTAAATGCAAATAAATGCAGATAAATGTAGTTGGATAAATGCAGTTGGAATGGGTACTAGAAGTAGGGGTAGTAAAAGTAACTAGAGATGAGCAGAAGCGCATTTGGATATCGGATTACCAATCGAATGGGGAAGGAAGGGTTAGAAGTAGTAACTGCCGTCTTCACCCGAATAGAACGCCCGGTCATTATAGTTGTATCTGGAGTCGAAATTGTACCAGATACGGCTATAATGAACGGGCGTTCTATTCGGGTGAAGACGGTAGTAGGGGTTATCGAGGCCTTCTGATGACGAGTTGCGAAGCATAAGGGATGAGGGGAGAGACGAAGGAGAGGAGGGGTGGGCGGTTAAGGTTCATTTGGCAAGAGAGCGAGGGACCCCCCTCTCTCTTGACTGGTTAAGGCCGGGATCAGAGGGCTAGATCTTGCGGCAGTGACCGGGTACCAATGGGAGTCTCCCGGCTGCAGTAATCTTGCCTGTTTTTCCGAACCTACCAGTTAATCGGTGGGATTCAAACGTGCAAAGTTCTTACCTCGCTCTCAGACACTGTTTCTCAAACTTCCTTACTTCTGTTCTTTGCTTGCCGGTAATCTGCAACTGGACTCGTGCCCCCCAGAATAGATAGGGGCTGTGTACATTTTTTTTTGGGAAAGAAGGAAAAAGGGAAAGGAAAAGGAGAGAGAGATTACGTATCATGGAAATATATTCTGCTGTCAATTGGATAAACCCATACGAAGCCGTTATAGCCATTCTAGTCAGACATCCCTCTGACCAATGCTCATGTCAAGAACGAGTAAGAAGCACCTTAGCTGAATTCAAGACCTGGAGGATACAAGGATGTAGGGTGTTGGCCCACTGGCAGCAAGAAGCTCACACTCTATCGGACTGATGGTAAACCATGACGATGATGAATCTTGATGACTGACTATGGTTGTGCTAAGAAAGCAGCAACCTGGTGGTAGAATCCTTGCTAGCTCATAGCACCAGTGGTGCCTGGATAATTTCTTTTTTTTTGGTTAAAAAAAAAACAGAACCTTATGGTTCCGGCTCCTTATCCATTCTGGGGAATGCCAGTCTGGTTCCTATTCCACCAGCAAGTCAAAGGAAGTACATTGAGAACACGCTCACACTCCTCCCCCTTCTGGTGTGGAGGTCCGAAGGACGGCATTGATTACTTCCGTCAGGAAGGATATACCACCCCTCACCCCTGCCAAAGTTAGCCTGCAGTCCTTTTCTCCTACCTTTTGCTGATCTATTGTTTCGTTTACTCTGATACTCGAAACTAGACTCTTTTTGTTCCAACCAGCCCGTTCCTCTCAGCTCCTCGGCTGTCTGATTTTCTCCTCGTGCTAGAACTGCTGATATGGACGCCTGTGGTGATGATCTGCATGAGCTGTGTTCTGTGGGACTGCTAAAACCCTAAACCCTAGCCCTCCTACTGACCCTTGTAGGCTGTATCTGTTTTTATTGGCACGAGTGTTTGAAATTCCTACGGGTGCAAGAGTGGTGGTCTAATGGTTCTACATTTTGAGTCACTTGGTTTCCTGGTGGATGTGGTCTGCTTCGGGATTGATCTGTGAATGGTGCCTGGATAATTTCTTATTGTTGAACAAAACACAAAGATGCGAGAGATTTTGACTGAATGTAGCCATGAATGACGTCAGGTACATGCCAGAATGCCTAGAGAAAAAGGAAACCCTGATTGCCCTCTCAAATTTCTTTATTCCATCATTGTTCCGATACTTCAAAATTTTGGATACATTCCTCTTCTGTCTACATTTCTGCAACATTGCCAGATGCTTCTTGGAACTAAACATTGTAAATGCTTGACCATGCTCACATTGCACACCCCTTCTTATCTCAATGGATTACATCTCATTTATGGTTTCTGGTTTGGAAAAGCTTCCACACAGATATGGATGCCAACCGGTTTTCCCTCTTCTTTAGCTAGGAAGTTAATGCACTTAAATGATCTCAACAATACTCACCTCTATTTTTGAGAGGTCCAAAATGTCGTTTATGAGGGACACAAGTGCCTTTCCGCTGCTCGTTGCAGTCTGGACGAAATCTATCTGTGTTGCATCGAGTTCTGTCTCCAAGAGCAAATTCATCATGCCTAATTTCACTCAACCCCGCAAGGAACGAAGTCAAGACCTGTCTCTTATACACATCTAGATGTGTATAAGAGACAGGGATGAACGTTGCCTCCTTTTCTTGGACCAGGTTCGAGTTCTGTCTCCAAGAGCAAATTCATCATGCCTAATTTCACTCAACCCCGCAAGGAACGAGTTAAGACAAATCCACCACCCTGACCAGTTGTTAGTTAGGGTAGGCCTCATTTGCAGCACTGCAAGCTAGCTTAGGATGAACGTTGCCTCCTTTTTTTGGACCAGGTTCATCATAAGTTAGCAGACGATTCCGCTAGTGGAGCCTAATTATCCTTAGCTAGTTAGTTGGCTATTTCCATGCAACAGCTGAAGACAACCCTCTTCCAAAAAGCCAGAGACAAAGTAAGATATAAACTAGGAGTAAAGAACTGAAGAATGTTTTGCTTCTCTGTGTAACTGATCAGCAAACAATGCATAGACGAAATCAGCATGTGTGCAAGCAAGAGTTGTAAAATTTAAATAATGAACTGCGCAGTCAATCCCCGGTAATACGGGCAATCAATGCTGGCAGGAGACATAGTGAAAATCAGCTTTGAAGATGTTCAGTGGGACGCTGGACCCGTTTTCCAGCAGGTGCTGCTCCCCACCAATAGATTGGAGCAACCAGGCGGCCCGCTAGGAG